GGAAAAGCCATTGCATGCTCAGAGTTTGTTGCAGTGGAGCTTGGAACAGTTACGCTGAATCAGCTGTGATTAAGAAGAGACCAGGACCAGTGCAGTGAAACCTTTGCTTTCCTGGGACAATTGATGCTGGTTAGCTGGGGCTGAAAAATCAGCTGTAAGTAACAAGATACCAGCATCACTGTGGTGAAGTCTTCTGGGAGGTATTTCCTCAGGGTCAGCACACCGAGGGGACCCACACCTTTATTTCAAGCTGGAAGCAGGACTTGGTAATGTGTAAGAGTCTCCGGCATGGTTCTGGTGTTGAAAGTGTGAAGGGGTCAGAGAGAGCAGCTGAGGCTTGGCACTCTGAGAAGCTAGGAAAGGCCATAGGTGATAGTGCAGTTCCAGTTGCAATGAAGACCCCAGGATTGAAGGGGTCATGGAGGCAACTGAGGCTTTGCAGCTGGAGAGGCAAGAAGAGGACATTGGTGAAGGTGTAGCCTCAGTTTCAGTGGAGACCCAAGGTTTTTGAGATGCCAGGACCCTGGGACAACCACCAAGGACAGCAGGTGTGGAATGGAGCTGACCTGGATCTGTGAGACAAGCTGTGTGTGCTGTGGATGGCAGAGTCAGAGAAGTGGAGCTGCCAGAACCCTTTGGAGCCCAGAAGATCATGAGTGACTCCCAGATGTCCAGCCTTGAGCTACTTTGCTGGACTTTGGTTTTGCTTAGGTGTGCCCGATTCATCCCTTTGAAATCAGACAGTACTTGGTTTTGATTTTACAGAAGCCCACCCACAGTTGAGACTTTTAAAAGAGACTATGGACTTTAAAATGTTTGGATTTTTTTAAGGACCATGGGGTTTTTAAGGTTGTGCTGTCTTAGGTTGTGATATTAACATCATATCTTAGGTACAGAAATTGGAAAGTTATGGTTTAATAGTGATGTTTGTGTGTCAAGTTGACAAGGGGTCAATTGTGCTGGATAGCTTTAGTGTCAACTTGACACACCGGGTTGAGGGAGCCTCAGTTGGGGAATTTCCTCTATCGGACTGGCCTATGGCCATGTCTGAGGGGCATCTTCTTGATGAGTTGCGACAGACCAGCCCAGACCGGAGCAGTTCAGTCCGACGGGAACAGGGTCCTCGAGAGAGTGGGCAAGGATTTGGCGAGTGACAAACAGACACACAAGAGCTTGGTGAAAGTCTGAGTGTATTTTTGCAGCTGCAAGGTTTGAGATATATACAGCAAAGATTGCAAAAATTCATCATCAGCATGACTGTTCTGTAATTGGTCGTTTTCAGTTTCAGAGATAAAAGTAAAACAATTTTGCCAACCATCATGTATAGCCAAAACACATTTCTTTATTTTATCAACCTGGTACCAGCCAGCAAATTCCTGCTTTATGATACTGTGGTTTCTACTGCCATTTTTTATTACGCACTCAGGATTCTGCTCAGCTCTGTGTTTTCAGGTCAAAATGACCTTAACCCATCACGTACTTTCAAAATTAGCTGTACCTGATATTACATTTTTAACTATTTGATAACATTCCTTGCTTATTTGTAGTGGGCCATTGGGCTTCTAAGTCATTCCTTAACCCCTTAGATCCTAAAAAGTTATCCCATGTTGATTGAGTTCCTGAGAACTGCTATCCTTGGTGGTCATCCCACAGTCCTGGCATCTCCAAAAAGCTGGGGTCTCCACTGAAACTGAGGCTACACCTTCACCAATGGCCTCTTCTTGCCTCTCCAGGTGCAAAGCCTCAGATTCTCTCCATGACCCCTTCAATATGGGGTCTTCGCTGCAACCGAAGCTACACTTTCACCTATGGCCTTTCCTGGCCTCTCAGAGTGCCAAGCCTCAGCTGTTCTCTGTGACCCCTTCATACCTCTGCATACCCTTCCTGCATACTAGGATAATTAAAAGATTTCAATAAAGGCAGTGACAGCAGTGTCAAGAACACCAGGTGTTTTCCGGGCCCCCTGAAAGCCCATCATACAGTGACAGTCAGAAAGATAATAGCAAGTAAAAGCATGCCAAGTATACAACATGTCTTTTTTAGCACAGTCAGTTCCAAGAGGCAACCTTCCTTGAAGTTTCAGCCTCAACCCATGGAGGATCTCACGCGGGCTCCATTGGAGATGGTGTGACAATGAGTGATGTGGGAGGGCCCAGCCCACTGTGGGTGGTGCCACCCCTGGGCAGGTGGGCCTAAGTTGCATAAGAGATCAGGCTGAGCAGGGGCCAGGGGAACAAGCCAGTAAGCAGTGTTTCTCCATTCCATGGAGGATCTCACGCGGGCTCCATTGGAGATGGCGTGACAATGAGTGATGTGGGAGGGCCCAGCCCACTGTGGGTGGTGCCACCCCTGGGCAGGTGGGCCTAAGTTGCATAAGAGATCAGGCTGAGCAGGGGCCAGGGGAACAAGCCAGTAAGCAGTGTTTCTCCATGGCCTGTGCTCTAGCTCCTGCCTCCAGGTTCCTGCCCTGAGTTCCTACCTTGGGCTCCCAGATGAACTGTGACCTGGGAGATGTAAGCTAAATAAACCCTTTCCTCCCTAAGTTGGTAATGGTCAGAGTATTCTGTCACAGCAATGAAGAAACAAACCAGAACAGGCGCGTTCTACTTCTGGCCACTTTTCTTTGATAAAACTCTTCTAAATTCCAGCTTCCACAGTCACCCCCAGTACTAGTCACATACCAAGGTGAGCCCTGTCCCTTCACTTTTGGCCACTACCCTTTAGTTCTTGAAGAACTTCTTGGATCACTGTCCTCTCTATCATCCACATAGATGACTGCCCTAGTTAGCTTCTACTACCAATTCAACAACCCAGAGTCACCTGAGAGAGTCTCGACTGGGAGATTGCCCAGAGCAGATTGGCCTGTGGCCATGTCTGTGATAATCTTCATGGTTGATGATTGATATGGGAGGATTCAGCCCATTAAGGTAGAACCATCCTTAGCCAGATGGGCCTGGGCCATACAAGAAAGCCAACTGAGTACAACCCAGTGAACATGCCAGTAAACAACATTCTTCCATGGTTTCTGTTTTGGTTCCTGCTTCAGTTCCTGTCCTGACTTCCCTCAGTGATGAACCGTGACCTGGAAAAAACTCTTTCCTCCCCTAAGTTGCTTTTGGTCAGAGTGTTTTATCACAGCAACAGAAAGGAAACTGGAACAAATGACTTTGCTTTGGCATTGGCCTTGGATCCTCGCTCATTTTCCCTCTGATGTTCACTCCTTGCCTGGATGTTTATAGTAGCCTCCTGACTGTTCATCCTTCAAGGTCAGCTCTTTTCCATTTTTCTTAACACATTAGCCAGTTGGAGATAATCTTCCATCAGTCGTGCCCTTCTGACATGTGAAATGGTGTCTGGAAAGGTCAGTGGTGTGGGTGGCAAAAATAATGTACTCAGTACATGAAATGATAGAATTTATTGAAATACATTGGGAAAAGGCAGTATATGAGTTCCCAAGGAGGGGATATCCTGCTGAGAGGGAGAAGGAGTTCTTCTATAGCAGTTGAGAGGGATGTTACTTGGTCTTATCTCATGGGCCATTTGTGAAGACTATATTTGGCTAGGTGGGTGGGCATCACACTATCTTGTTAAGTAGTAAATTTCAGAGTATAAATTGTCTTTCTTTTTTCATTTTATGTGTTTGAATGCATTGCCTGCATGTAGGTAAGTGCACTTGTGTCGTGTAATGCCCAAGGGGGTCAGAAGAGAGCATCAGATACCCCAGACTGGAGTTAAGATGGTTGTTAGTCACCCTGTGGGTGCTGGGAACTGAACCCAGGTCCTCTGCACGAACAGCCAGTGCTCTGAACTGCTGAGCCACCTCTCCAGCCCCCAGGTTGTCTTTTTTAAGACTAGCCATTTGGGTAGCGCACCATGGGCCATTAGAATTAGGCTCCAAATATTTGTTTAAGAATCATAAGTCACTGGGATCAGGCTTCAAGTAGTTGTGGCCCGGTGGCTAAAGTGTAGGGGTTTTGCTTTTATTTTTGAGTTTTTGTCTCTACACGTTCTCTGTGCAGAGACTTCTACTGACTACACATCTTAGTGAAAAAGCCAGGCTCCCTTCTTTGTCTTCAGAGCACAGTATTACTTGGCTCCCCTTTACTGTTCTGCTCACATCTTGGGGTTCCTCAGTTCTGTTGGAACTTGTCCGTTCCTCTGTCTGGCATATTTTCACTTGAGATGTCTACCTGGCATATTTTTTCTTTTGCCTCCTTTGAGTTATCGGCTCCCCAACTTCTGCCTTCTTCACAAGGCCTTCCTTGACCACTTTATTTAACCTTTCCTCTCCACCCCCACAGTACCTTCTAGCTCTTTCTCTGCCCAGTGTGTTTTCTCTGTCATGCACCATCTTCTTAAATACAACATATTTAATTTCTTTTTCTGTCCATTGCCTGTTTCTCTCCACTCAAGGAGGATTTCTATCTACTCGATTCATTCCTATAATACAAGTGCCTGTGTAGAAAAGACGCCATCAAACACTTGTGGCATGACTGAAAGCTTTTTGGGCTAGCACAAAGCTACCCACAGTTGCCCTAACCTGTAGCTGCCCCCACTGAGACAACTTCTAGTTCCCACGGCCAATGCTTCCACAGGGTTCTCTGCTTGTCTTAACCCTTTGGTGATACTATAACAAAATACCTGACACTGGCTAATTTGTAAAAAATTGAAATTTGTTGCTCACATTTTGAAGATCAGAATGTCTAAGATCAGGGTGCCAGTAGTGAGAAGCTTGGTGAGGGCTGCTCTCTCCTTCAAGGGGGCGGTTTGTGGCTATCTTCCAGGGGTGGAGAATGATTTCTATGTCTTTACATGGCAGGAGTGATCTACCCCTTCAATCCCTTCCATAAGGCTGCTTACACCTTCTGAGATATTTTGTCATCTTCACCACCAGGTCCTTGTAGCAGGCACCGATCTCAGTTGACAAACTTACATGTGCAAGGAATGCAACTCCATTATTTCTAGACCCTAATTTCTAATTTTAGTCTTAATTTGTCAAAATGGCAGAACCTTTAGGAGCTTTGGAGATCTCTGTTCTCCTTTGTTCTGAGCAAGGTAAGGAGTTGGGGAGGGATGAGGAGTGGAGAGCCCTGATGTCATCAGCTCACGCTGACAGCCATAGTGACATCTGTGGTCAATGCTTTGAGCATCAGGTAGGGAGGATGTTGCAGAGGTGTCCCCAAACCCTCTGCACAGCTGGGCTTCTCCAGCCCTGGGGGCTCTCTGTGACTTCTCTGCCTTTTTCGGTGATACATAAGCCGCTGGTTTTTTCAGGCTGTGACAGGGCAAAGCCACTCTCCGAGGCTGTCTGAGATGTTTGCCCAGGCACTGTTCTTACGTGGGCCTGTCTCCCTGGAGTTTTGTATAGCTCTGGGATACCACAATTCTGGGAATCCTGCTGCCTCCTTGGGTGGTAACTTTGGAGGAGGGAATGTGGAATCCTCTCTCTGGAACTTACTGATATCTTTACAAACTGCTTTTCCTTCATGTCTTTTTTCTCTAGGCTAGGGATATTTTTTTCCTAGTATGACCAGGAGGGTTAACCTTGTTTTCACTCAGTTCTTTTCTGTGCTGTGAATGATTTTCATTTCTCTAAGGTTTTGGACCTTTGAAACTTAAGACTAGGAAGAGAGACCCTCCTTTCTGCATTTAGCACTCATTTTGTTTTCATGAGTACAGAATAATAACCTGGCTATTTTATTTTATTAAAATATTTTATTATTCTTATTTATGTATATGAGCATATTACCTGCATGTATATAAGTGCACCTATATCATGCAATTCCTGTGGATGTTAGAAGAAGGTGTCAGATTCCCTTGGAACTGGAGATGCGGAGAGTTGTTAGATGCCATGTGGGTGCTGGGAATTGTACCTGGGTCCTCTGGAAAAGTAGCCAGTGCTCTTAACCACTGAACCATCTCTCCAGCTCCTAACCTGGCTATGTTCTTGGGAGTCTCCAGGCTGTTCCTCATGACTACCATGCTTATGCTGAGGCTAGACCTCCCAGGCTGTTCTCTAAGCAGGCAAAGCCTCTACCATTAAGTAGAATGCTCATGACTTCAGGGAACTACCTCCCTCCCTGGCCAGCTCCAAAGTATCTGTTATCAGAGGACTTTGAATTAACATAGTGAAGATATTGCATGGGTTTACTCTCAAAATGCAGATATCAGACATACCCACTATAGCATGGCTGGGCTGAATCAGACAGCTTGGATCAAGGCTCCTACTAGACAGCCACTTTGATAAGCAGTGGGAGTGTGGGGGTGAGGAAGCTAGAATGTGGTGTAGGCCCTTGATGCAGGGGCTGTAGGAGGGCTCAGGATACCCGGTTTCTCTGCAGGCGAGGACTCCATCAGCACCTTGGGCCTGATCCTTGGCGTGGGACTGTCGCTGCTGCTCGTGTCCATCCTTGGCTACAGCTTGGCCAAGTGGTACCAGCGTGGGTACTGCTGGGAGGGTGAGTGAGCACTGGGCTGAGCCACCCCAGCTCTGTGCACCCTTCCTCATCAGTAGTGCTTGGCAAGGACAGACAGGGCTGCAAACCTTTCAGCTTAATGGATGCAAAAATATTTCCTGTGGCAATTGCAGTGGTTGAAGACTTAGGTGGGTGGCTGGAGGCTGAGCAGTTGAAGCAGCTCAGATGGAGATGTGGGACCTTTGTTGAAGGAATAGCGGTTCTTCCTACCCTTGGAGATAGTGAGCTTCTTTTTTGGTAACCCCCAAGGCCAAGCGCAACATCTGGAAGGCCATGGTGCCTATCTGATTCCACGTGTGTCCTTCCCTGCCTGTGGGTCTTGGGCTCTCTCCCAGACTCCAAGCTAGCTGATGTTCCAGCTATCTTGGAAGTCTCCTGGACTTTCCTCTGGTCTTCTCAACCGGAGAAGCTGGAATACTGAGAGAAATATTCCCAGATGTGCAGTTAACTTTAACAGATACTTTTCAAATATCTGTTGGGCACTTACTATGTGTCAATGTACTTTTCTCTAATATGCTTTTTAAATTCCACACAATGAAGAGGTTATTATAGCCTCTTTTTTTGAGACATGGTCTTGCTATGGAGCCTAGTCTGGCCTCAATCTCTCCATCTTGCCGTCTTCCTGCCTTAGCCTCCTAAGTGCTGAGAATCCAAGCATGTACCATCTGTACCCAGCTGTAGCCTCTAATTAATTAACTGTCTTTATTTAAGACAGGGCCTCCAGGCTAGGCTTGCCTTGAATTCCCTGTGTATCCAAGGATGACCATAAACTTCTGATCCTTCTCCTTCCACCTCCTGAGTGCTAGAATTACACGTGTTTGACACCATGCCTGGTTTCTGCAGTGCTGGGGGTTGAACCCAGGGCTTTGTGTATGCTAGATAAGCACTCTATCAACTGAGATAAATCCCTAGCCCCCAGCTTCCATTTTTGAAGTAGATAGGGGCATGTGGTAAAAATCACATGGTTGGAACCTGGTAGAGTCTTGAATTAAGCCTAGGTCTGGTTCTCTTGGGTTCTAGGCTAGGACTCCTTCCTTCCCTTTTAATGAGAGGACCTTGAAGGGTCTTGCAACCCTCTCATAGCATCCTGAGGCCAGTCTGTTCACCCACTCCTATGGATGGGGTAGAGGGTACCAGATGTTTGCATGAGGGTGATAGTCGCTTTCCTTGGAGACCCTAACTCTCTTTTTGGATTGTCTTTTTAGGGCCTAATTTTGTCTTCAACTTATACCAAATCCGGTAAGTAGGTCTAGAGCAGATCTGGGTGGACTGGTCATTGAGAGTAAAATATGATGAAGAAAGAACCAGAGATAGAAACAGAACATACTGCTTCCTTTTCTTGACTCTTTCCATGCCCAAGGCAAACCAGAAAGTCCATTTAGAAAAGTTTCATGAGTAAAACCTTGAATAAAGACAATATCATGTCAGATGCTGGTGATATCAACTATCTTAGTTCACTTTCAGGCAGAGAACATCCCATCTGTCCATCCGTCCGTCCATCCATCCACTCACCCAACTCATCCACCCACCCACTCATCTACCCATCCACCCATCTACTCACTACCCAACTTGCATCCATCTATCCATCCACCCACTTACCTACTCATTCATCCATGTATCCAGCCACCCACCCACCCATTCATCCTTCCCCCACCTACTTACCCTTCTGTCTACCCACCAACCACTCATTCACCCATCCATCCACCCACCCATCTACCTTTGTGCTCCTCATTTATTCAGCAAAGTTTTATTATAGACAGTTTGTATATTTCTTTTTATACATATTTTAAATATTTTATTTATTATTTTTATTTTATCCTTATGAGTGTGCTGCCTGCATGTAGGTAAGTGCACCCATGTCATGCAATGCCTGCAGAGAGGCTGTCAGATTCCCTAGAACTGGAGTTATGGATGGTTGTTAGCTGCCATGTGGGTGCTGGGATTTGAACCCAAGTCTTCTGCAAGAGCAACCAGCGTTCTTAACCGCTGAGCCATTGCTCCAGCCTCCAGTTTGTGTATTTTGAAAGATACAAGGATGGCTGGGTAAAGTCTTTGCCCACAAGTACGTGCAGTCTCAGTCACAGTCCGGGGTCAAAAGAGAAAGCAATTAAACAAAGTCAGGGATTTGAGGAACAGAAGTCAGAAAGGCCTTTTGGGGTAAGGCATCTCATCTACTCCTTGCCACAAGGTAGGCCTGCTCCTCCTCTGCCCGAGAGAAGGAATGACTCCTATTTCAGAAATAAATCAACAAGTCAATGATTTAGAAATACCCCGGCACCCTGCCAAGAACAGCTTCCCATGTTCTAGTCTAGCGAAACAGGCTCCAAGGAGAGGGTGGGTTCCCAGCAGAACCTTATTGGATAATCTGTCTCAGGAATCTGAAGGACTTGGAGGTGGGGCCACCCTTCACCATCAGTGGCCACATCAGCAGTCCAGATGGTGGCTATATGAAGTTCTCCAATGAGAGAGTCTGATGGAGGAACATCTGGCTTCTGGAAATCATGAAAGGTGAGTTGGAGGGCAGGAGAACTTCTGAGTGAGTATGATATCTGAGTAAGGTCCTAAGAGGTTCCAAGCAGCCAAGCCTAGCACCAAGAACCATTCAGAACCCAAAGAAATTATTCATTCCCTCTCTGCTTGCTCAGGAGAGCCAGGCCACACTGACCAGACATAGAGAAGCCCTTCCCAAGCCTTATTTCTTCCTCACCCTCCCTTCTCTTTTCTACAGGAAAAGGATCTTGTGTCAGCATGAGTCCCTCTGGACTTCTCTCCCTCCCTGGACTGTGAATGCCTGGCCTGGCCCAGAGTGTGGGGAATGACGGGCCTTCTCTTGGTCGTCTTTCAGCCCTCATAGACCTGGGCCTCTGCAAATGGACCTGGCCAGGCTCAGCCGGACACAGAGAGACAACTGTTCCCCAAAGAGAACTCCTGGATTCCAGGAGGCCCTGGGCCCATAGGAGCCACGTATCCTGCAGAGCCGATCCCGCAAATCACAGCCAGGCCTGCCCTCCTCCTCCTGTCAGTCACATCAGTGTGGACAGGTCTCCGAGACTCCGTGGAGGCACTCTTCATGTGGCATCTGCTGTCACTTCATCTTGTCAAGTTGACTCCAAGGGCTGGAGATCCAGTCATCTTCACTAGGGAGTTATGTGGTTAGAGAGGTGATTTTAGACATGTTTATAAAACCTTCCCACCAGTGACCAACTTTTCTGAACTTGGGTCATTATCCTATAGTCTTCTCCTCTGTGCTTGGTCTGGGCACTTCCCATTCTTTTCTACCATTGCTGCCTTCCTTCCCCTCACTGGTTTTCCCTTCTGTGAGAGACCTCAGTACTTACCAAACATAATCAGAGCAGTCTAGCAACCACGTCCTCACTGTCCAGGCTCCTGCACTGGGATGGGCATGGGGCATGAGGTACTATCTCCCAGTGTCTTCCTTTCTGTACAGAGCCTGCCCTGTGGGGCAGAAAGTGACCAGAGATGGTAGGGCAGCAGGAGGCCCCAGGCTGAGGCTAAGCAAAGCCTGTAAGGACAAGGACGGCAGGACAATTTACCTACCGAGTCAGCACTTCTTCCTCTGCCCATGACCTACTGAGCTGGAGGCGGAGCTGGTACCAGGAGATTTAGCTTACTGGGTGCTTAGTATAGACTGAGCCTGTCCAGAGAGGCCGAGTTCCTGAAGAAGCTGTGAATAGAGGGCAGCATGAGGGGCCTGTGCTGCTCAAGTTGGGCACTGGACCAACCAGCCCCCACCCAAGGCCAAAGGGCAAGGGCCAGGACAGAGACAGGAGAAGGGGCGTGCCATGATTTGCTGCCTATCTGCCCTTTGCTGAAGTCCGTGTTTCTTTCTTGCATAGGCCTTAAACTGACTGTGGAGGAAGGAAGGAGCCTGGCAGCTCCTCCCTGCTTCTGGCCAGAGACTAGGGGCCTTTTGCCTGCTTAGCCAGGCTCAGACACAGCAAACCAAGTCTCTAGAGTTAAATGCTTTTGGCTAGGTCTTCTTTTCTAGGGCCCCTCATGGCTCTTGATCCATCTCCTTTCCTTAAAGGCCTCTTGGAGAGAAGGGTATCCAACTGTATCCAAGAGGAGACTGTTGCTTCTGGCTTTCTTCTTCCTTGGATACCAGCCTTGACGTCCCCTTTTGGAACCTTGTTCGGCCCCAGTAACAAGCTCAACTATGCCCTGCTCAGTGTGGATCACCTACGTCCTCAGAAATGCTCAGGACTCAGTGACCTTGGCAAAACCTCTAAAGAGAATGAGACTTGGGTCCCAGGTAGTCCTGGCCCCAGGTCAGGTGGCTTCAGGTGAGGACACAGGGACATCTGTCCAGGGCTGGGAGAGAGGAGGGTATTTCCCATCCTCAAAAGCAGAACCGAGAATATGCTGCTTCCTCTTTCAGGGCCCTCTGACGCGATCTGCGTTCCCTTTGCGCCCCCTCGTTTTCCTTACTTCCTCAGGCCCACAGTGTAGCACAGTTTTCTTCACTCTGGACACTGGGCCCCACCCTAGGACTCCTCTGTTGAGGACTCTGAAGGAGCAGATTCCAGCTTCCTCAGAAAAGAGTAAATATCCAGCTATAGGTCTGTGGGGGCTGGGCACTCAGATCCTTGGCCATGTCAGGCCTCTGTAGTACTCCCTTTCCCTCCTCTTAACCTTCCTCATCCCACTGGAGGGCCTGCTGTCCTGGGGCTGCCTACTGAGATTTCTCTGCCACGGTTCCTCTCTGGTGCCCTTGGCAGGTCTGTCCTCCTCCCTCCACCCCCTTCTAGCCACACCTAGACCCAATTAACATCAAGTCCTGTCTTTCCTCTTTCCTGTAACTTTCCTCAGGATTCAAGACAAGACATCTAGACCTCCCCCCAGAGTTTTATTATGTAGTCTGTCCTGACTGACTTGGAACTTGCTATGTAGACTAGGTTGGCCTCCAACTCACAGAAATCTGCCTGCCTCTGCTTCTGCCTCCTGAGTGCTGGAATTAAAGGCAAATGCCACCACACCTGGCAGACACTACTGATTTTGATCCCTATTGCAGAGGATCATGTTTTTTCCATGTGAAAAAACCCCAACCAGGCTGAGCCTCTTGTAGCCGGAGCTCTCTAATAACCCCTCAAATAAAGCACAATAAATAAACTTAATAAGTGCTCATTAAGAAGAAATGGCAGGCAATCTTGTTCGGGAAAGAGTACTCAGCAGCCTGTGGAGGACCAGACTGCTTATACAGTCCATTTTCATACATGTTACTGCATTTAGAGCCCTGTGGCCACCCTGTGACACAGGGATTATTATCGACCCACTTTATATAGAGGGAGACCAAAAGGTTCAGAGAAGTGGCTTGACTTGTCCAGGGCTGCCCAGCTGCCCATTGGTCATACTGGAGCCTGAGCAGAGTCTGTGGCCTCAGAGACACAGCCTTACCTCAGGGCTTAGTGGAGTAAGGACTGAACATGGTAGAAAAGGACCTGGTTCTCTCTCTGTCCTGCAGTGCTGTGTGGCCATAGGCTAGTCACTCCACTTATCTGGGCATCTATTTCAACATCAAGAAAGCCAAAGATTAATCTGTTTCTCTAAGGCTCCTCTTGGCTCTTACCTTGTTTATTAAAAAGAAAAATTTAATCTCTGTTTATCATATGCAGGGCACATTGTAGGTACTCAATAAATAGTTGAAAGATACAAATACAGTGTGAAGTCTTAACTCTAATTTAGGAGGTGTGTGTTAAAAGGTGACTGATAAGGTTCTTTGACATGCCTACTCGTCTTTCCTAAACTTCACAGAGATCTGGCAGAATCAAAGACTGTCCAAAGACTCCCTCCCTGTCTCCCATTCCCAAGCAAGCCACTCTGTACCTGATAGATGAACACTAATGTTTGCTGGGCACACACTGGTACAGGGCAGGGGCTCCAGGCCCCCAGTCTTACTTCAGCCTCATGAGAGGGGAAGCAAAGGCTCAGGTATAGGAAAATTATCTACTGAAAGCTGGGCAATAATTTATTTTCCTTAAGATCCTTGGTCAGTGACTTGGAGCATCAGTCCGAGCTGCAGCTCCCCTATCACCCTCGGCCTCCAAGGATGTAACTCTAACCTCTTTCTAGATTTCCTGGAGTGAGGAATGGGGGTCTTAGGGCTCAGCTATCCTGAGGCACCACCCTCAGCTCTGAGCTTCTCGTTCACTGACTCTCCACTCCTCCTTTTGCTTTTTACTCCTTCCTTGACTTCCAAATCACCATGTTCTGCCCATTCTTCAGAGTGGCTCAGATTAGCCTTCTTCAAGACCCATGAACCATGTTCTCTGCTGATTTTAATATAAATATCCTCTGGCTCCCATAACTTCATTCATTCATTCATTCATTCATTTCTTCTATTCCTCCAGGAACTTGGTTAGGCCCTATAGGATGTGCAGTCTCTCAGGAGATTAACCTGTTCTCTCCTATATGATGAGAATTCCTGCAGACAGAGTTAGACTTTGCATCTCTTCTGAGTTTCCTGGGGGGCCTTGTGTAGTTCTGGTTAGAGGCAGCAACTTCTCAGGAAACTATGTGAAGAAAGTTCTTGGTCTCTTTAGGGTATCTTATGCATTGCTCTAGGCCTGGCCTGTGACTGGTGCTCTAAAAATCAACACTTGGAGATTTTTCCTTTCCCATCCTTAACCACATATGATCCTGTGTTTATGATCAGATACCTTTCTAGAGAAGAGCACACCTGGAAGTCAAGGTCTTCTATGTAAGGGACAACCTAAGTGATGACTGAAATCATAGAATCTTCTTTAAGAAGGGGGTAGTAGTAGTGGAAAGATTCGTTGGATAGCTGTACTGGACAGCTTTAGTTGTCAACTTGACACACCTGGTTAGAGGGGACCTCAACTGGGAATTGTCTCCATTGGACTGGCCTGTGGCCATGTCTGTGGGGCATTTTCTTGATTGTTGAGTGATGTTGGAGGGCCAAGCCCACTGTGGGCAGTGCCACCCCTGGATAGGTGGTTCTGTGTTGCATTAGAAAGCAGGTTGAGCACAGGCCAAGGAAGCAAGCCAGTAAGCAGCTCTCCTCCATGGTCTGTGCTTCAGCTCCTGCCTCCAGGTTCCTGCCCTGAGTTCCCTTAGTGATGAACTATGACCTGGGAGATGTAAGAGAAAATAAACTCTTTTTCTCCCTAAAGTTGGTTTTGGTCAATTTTTTTATGTCAGCAATGGAGAGGAAAAGTAGAACAGAGCCCGAGGTGGTGGATGACTACAAGGAAATGGTGGTTTCCAGACAGTAGGGCAGTTATGCATATGATCACACAGTAATTATGACAGCATGCATAAGATCTATGCAAGTTCAAGCCAGACAAACTCCCAGCATAGAGGGAGGAAGGTGGGCAAGAAGCCCCAACCCTGGCTGAGGAACTATGGACAACTGATAGCTGCTGGGAGAGGGAGAATCAATTTTCTTTAAGGGTGTGATACCATGTAGGTTGACCAGGCTCCCGGGGATGGACCACACTCAAAAGCATTTGAGGACACACATTAGACTGGATAGACCTTAAAAAAATAATAATAGGGCTGGAGTGATGGCTCAGCGGTCAAGAACACTGTCCTTGCAGAAGACCTGGGTTCGAATCCAAGCACCCACGTGGTAGCTAACAACTGTCTGTAATTCCAGTTCCAGGGGATCCGACAGTCTCTTCTCTCCTCTAAGGGCATTGCATGACAGGAGTGCACTTACCTACATGCAAGCAATCAATGCATACACATAAAATAAAAATAATATTAAAATATTAAAAAAATAATAGAGGACATGAAGTCTGTGGGGAGGTTGGGTGGGAATGGAGGTGGGGGAGGGGATCTGAATATTATTAAAATACATTGTATAAAATTCTCAAAGAATCCAATAAAAGTGTTTTTAAAAACCCACAAAACTCCTTTGAGTCTGCATGGCCTTGTCCCAAGCCAGCAGCAGCAAAAGAAGCTGGGTGATGGGAACTAGGCAGCCACTGTCTATGGTGTCCCTTTCTATGCTCCAAGGCTTAGAGAAGCTCAGAGCAGGAACGGATGAAGTACCATTATTTTATTTTTAAAAACTGCTTAGTGATCAAAAAACAGCTAGAAGTGGTAATCTTTGAGCGGCTCCGGTACAAAACAGGAAGCCAGTGGCTTAGTGAATTCTCACACTTGGGGACCAGAAGTGAAAATGTTTTGCTTGCCCAGAGGAGCAGCAGTCCAGCAAAACAACAGGTGGGGCAGCGCTGGAGGCCAAGGCTGTGGTGGACTCCGCCCTTCCCAACCTTCCATGCCTTCCTATCTCTTACCCCATTCGGTCTCCTGCAGAGCCATGGGCTTCCCTTCCTTCCCCAAAGCCTTAAATGAGATTGCTCATACAGAAGCCAAGAGCCACTGGGAGGAAGATAGGCGGAAAGTGGAAAAACCCTCATCTATTTAGTCCAGGTCCTTCCCCTTAGAGATGATGGGTAGATGCTCTGGGCCCCAGAGGACTTGTTTGTATAAGGCTGCCACTGGCCTAGAGAGCTTTGAGGTTTCTTCCAGCTGTGAGGCAGTTTCACAGTGGGTAACTTCAGTGCTTGGGTGAGAGTGGGGAAAAGGTGAATGGAGTGTGGTGTGTGTGTTCAGAACTGAGCCAGGAGAAAGATCATATCTGGTTGCCTGTCATAGTCCCAGAGGGCCTGGCTAGGGTCAGTGCTCAATGACTGCTTGCCTAAGAAGGGAGCAAATGCATGCTGAATGGCTCGAAGATCCTTCACCCTGTCTAGGGGCTGTATTCTGTTGCTTTAGGTCTCCTGTTTGGTCTGAAGCCCTGAGTTCCTACAACACCCAAGCTCTGTTACCTATGCCGACTCTTTGCTGGCCTTGAATCATGGGCTCATAACTTCTATTGCCTGCCACAGACCTCCATGTTGGAGCCTTCTCATATCCACTGAGCATAATAGATCACATATTTCATGCCTTTCCATTGACTTCAGTAGATGTGCCTCTAGAACCTACAAGGTATTTCACTGTTCCAGGCACAGAAAGCACCAAGGGATGCTTCACACTTACCTTCTCATTTAAAATAATGAGCTGGTCCCTGAATGATGGTACAGTGACAAGTTACGTATTAGAAGAAGCGCACACTGGGTCTGATTGGCCCAGAGAGGCTTTGCAGAGGAGGATACTTGAGCAGCCTTGAAGCAGCAAAGTAGGAGAAGAACATTTTGGGATGAGGAACTGGAATGCACAGAGGCAAGAACAGCATGGCATGCTGGGGGAAGGCAGGTGAGGATGTGAAAGGGAATGAGACTGGACAGGAAGTGGGGGTGTGTGGATGGGGATCTTAAAGAACATTCTGGCTTAAGTAAAAGCTTTGAGTGTTGTCTTACAGGCTTGGCAATGGAATTCAAAGCTCAAATGTGCATTTCCACTCCTCAGTTCAGTCAACAGTAGGGAAGGTTACTTAGGGGCAAGGGATGCTGGAAGTAAAGAAATTGACCTTTGGAAATCTGTGTCCAGTGGTCCCAGTAAGGGTTGATGAGGACTCAGAATGAACAAGGATGGAGGATAGGATAGCTGCAGGGCTGCTGAAGAGGTGAGGCTGACAGACCATTCGGCAGGATCTGCATGACCCCCACAGCCTTGTGAGTGGAAGTGCCATTAATCAGGATGGGAAGCTCTAGATATTATCAAAACTAAGAAGGAGAAAGTTGGGCTGGACAGAGGGCTCAGCAGTTAAGAACACTTACTATTCTTCAAGAGGACCCAGGTTCAATTCCCAGCACTCACATGGCGGTTAACAACCATCGGTAACTCCACTTCCAGGGGATCTGATACCCTCTTCTGGCCTCTGTAGGCACTATACACATGTGGTACACTTATATACATGCAGGCAAATACTCATACACATAAAAATAATAAATAAAGGAGAAAGTGATGATTCCAGTTTGAAGACATGGAAAAGGTGAACTGAATGACTGAGCAATGAAGGAATGAGTGTGGGTTGGAAGTCACCAGGAAGCAGGAGTCTGTGGAGGCCTCATGGGGCACCTTCAGGGAAGGAAGGGAGACATGAGATGAGATCTGGTGTGTTGAGGACTGGTAAGTCCAGGGGCAAGAGGCTGCACAGCTGCAGGGGTGCCATTCACATATGAAGCACCATGAGCAGGGTGTCCCTGGAGTTTCCAGTACAGCAGATGGAATCACTGAGTGGAACTGCTCTTTCAGTGTGATTGTGAAAGGAAGGAAGAAGTTGGCACTGGCTAGGAAGTTTTCTGAATGCTTGGCTTGTCTTTTCCAAGGAGTCCTCCCAGAACATATCTATTGGGCTGGATGCCCCTGGGGTACATGTTGTAGATCCTTCACATCCACCTCCATCACAGTACCTACCACAGGTACCTCTTATGCCCCAACAGACTGTCCATCTCTGGGTGGGCTCCAGATTCTTCAGTACTGGCAATGTCTCATCTTCCATGCCCGTTGCATGGCATCTGTCCCTCCTGGTCCAGTGCAGGCAGCCCCCTGCATCAGTTCAGGCTGGCAATGGCACAGAGCTAGCTAAGAAAGCAGAGGGAACATACAGAGACTCAATTGGTCCAAGGGAGAGGTGACAATGGATTTGAATAAGTTGACAGTGGCAGGAAGTGGGGAGAGTACGTGACTGGAGTCACCATCTGTCTGGAAGGTAGCTGATGGGTTAGAAGTGGTACAGGTAGGAATGACTCCTGGGTTTGGGCCTATACCAGGAGGCTGGTGGTGCCATTTTACTCCAGGGGGAAGATGGGAAGGGACCAGCTTGCATGTAGAGTAATCAAGAGTGCCGTTAGAGACATTTATACGGAGATATAATTATGCTAGAGGAAGTAGCTGAGTAGAGTTTGGGGGAAATCCTGCTTGGGCACTTGGAAGTCATCAATACCCAGATGACTTGAAGGCATGGATGGACTAGGTGATGCCATTTAAGGAGCACTGGAGAGGGAAGGGTTGGATTTTAAAAGCAGCCAATCATTAAGTTACTTCCTAAGGGAGTAGTTTACCCTCAGGCATGTCAGAATCACCTGTAACTCACTTCCTAAGCAGGTTCCTGGGAACCAGCATCCAGGAATACTGGTTCTGGGCTAGTGAGATGGTTCAACAGTTAATAGTGCTGAATTTGATTCCTAGCACCCAAGTTGGGTGGCTTACAACCACCTGTGGCTCCAACTCCAGGGGATCCTGACACCTTTTGCTGACCTCCATGGGTACCTGCATTTATGTGGACATACCCATACATACACACACAAGTACACATAATTAAAATAAATCTTCAACAAAAAATGTCTGGGCTTCAGGGAAACGTCTCAGAAGGCAGATACCCCAGGTCCTTCTGATGCAAATGGTGACAAACTCTTCCCTGTGGAATGGGGAAGGAAGGTGTGGGAAGTGGAAGACAGGAGACACTGTCAGATCTGGGATAACCAAGTAACAGCACCCTGACGGATGTGCTGTTCTCGCCAGGACCACCATGAGGCCGTAGCCTCCAGGAACTCCTCATATCTGTGCAGGTTGAGACATACAGGTGTGGCACCCTCGCGTAAACTTTGCCAGCCACATACCTGTGTCCACTCTTGTGCCTACTCCAGAGTTTCTTGGTTCTTCAGATGGGTTAATTCACTAAAGGAATCCCTCAGCTGTTATCTCATGCCCTAGTGATGGGCTGTGACTGTCTAAAGATCCCTGAGACATGCTAGATGCCAACAGGATATTTTCCTAGAGACAGGAGTCAGGTGGATGTCCTGAGTAGACAGGCTGCAGGAGGTCAGGAATCTTCTCCAGACCCGTTTCATCTCCACACTGTTGCAAGTTGCAGAGAACACAGAGATCTCACCTCAAAATCCCCAGTCCAGAGTCCTAACCAGGTACCAGACCTGTCTTTCCAATGCTGAAAGACCTTTCCTCTGTGTGACACAAATAACCCAGAGCTCAGCATCTCCTGAATCCTCCCTCTGACCCCCGTACACCATGTTTTCCCTTCCACGTTGTGTGCTGCTCACCATCAAGTTCCAGTGCCAGTAGCACTTGACTCTTTCCGGCCTGTCACCCTGTCTGTCAACTCTGTTTAAAGTGTCCTTTGAATCTTCCCCTTCTTCTCTCAATCACTTCCCCTGATCCATGTATACATGCAAGCATCTGTAATAGGCTGAATATTGTCTCCCCACCAACTCATTTGTTGAAACCTTACCCCCCCAATGTGATGATGTTTGGAGATGAGGCTACTGGGGGTGTTATTAGGTTTCATGAGGTCATGGGGATGGAGAACCATGATGGGTTTAGTGATGTCACAAGAGGAAGAGACTAGAGATCTCTTTCTCTCTACACAAATGAGGCCACAGCTCCAAGGCACCTGTAGACAAGGAAGAGGGTGCTCAGTAGGAACTGAATTAGCTGGTACCTTGATCTGGACTTCTCAGCATCCAGACTATTTGTGGTTAAAGCCCCTGCCAGGCTGTGTGACCTGTTATAGTCAGAGCTAAGGCAGCCTTCCACCATCTCTGCTTCCTGCCTCATCCTTAGTGTAGAACATTGGTTTCTCTCATGTCACTTAATCATGGAAGGTGACATTTATTGCCACTTTATACCCAGGTGGCCTCCTCCATGAAGCAAAGGCTGAATGCCACATCTGGCACACAGTAGGTGATTGTTGAAGAAATGAAATGCTGGGCTGACAGCAAGATGGCTCAGCAAGTTAAAGCACTTGAAGCAAGCCTGATGACCTGAGTTCAATCCCTGGAATCCATATGGTGGAAGGAGAGAACTAACTCCAGCAGGCTGTCCTGGCATGTGCTCACAGGCACTCAAACATACAATAAATAAATAGAATGTAGAAAAAAAAAAAGAAATGAAATACTAACTACAACAGGTCCCCCTGCCTCCTCCCTCACTTCTTCTGTTGTGTGAATTGGGCTTTAGTTAGAGCCATTAAAAAAAAAAAACTGATTTCATCCTGCCTAGTCCTTCCTTGTGTTTGCAGGGTCCCAGGACCCTCCTTAAAGGTTTATGGGAAACTGAACAAAGCTCAGATCAATCTGATAGTGAGGAAAGGTTCTGTAGGTCATTAATAACACTATACTTAATTTTAAATTGTGGGTTTGCTTTGAAAGAAACCCTCAAACCCATGAACACTACAGGAAACAGTGAGTCAAGCTTCCCAGTATCTGGTGTCCTCTCTGTGGGGGTTCGATAATATCGAGCTTTAGTCGGTTGCCTGGATGTGTCTTTCAGGGTTACTGTGCTATCCCAAGCAGGCATCAGCGCCGCCTCCACTTTCTCTGCCCTTGACATGTGGGGACTAGAGAACTTCCACCCAGTGGTGCAGGTACAATATGGGCTCTGAGTGTTCGTATGAGCAGTATGGGCTCTGTGGGTGGAACCCAGCCTCTTGGGGGTACTGAGTGTTCTGTAGACCTAATGTGGGCTCTGTGGGGGAACCCAACCTCTTGGGGGTACTGAGTGTTCTGTAGACCTAATGTGGGCTCTGTGGGGGGGACCCAACCTCTTGGGGTGCTGAATATTTTGTAAGCCCACTGTGACCTGACTTCTTAGGAGGCTGTGCATTCTGTCATTGTGTGAATAGGGCAGATGAGATTTGGGGGGGGCAGGGCGGGGCACTTGGCAGGCCCTTGACTACAGCTATTTACAAACTTGGGAAAGCACAGTTCAACAGAATTTCCTCTTCTGTCGGTGTAAGCCTATTTCCCCTCTTTCCAGTAAGAGGAAGTTCCGTTTGCTCACAGAAACCCAGAATCACACATTCCTCAGCCTGGAAAAGCCCTTGAAGGAGGTGGCTCAGCTGAAGAACAATTGGGCCTTCTGTTGGGGACTTTATTCTGAATTCCAGAGAAGCCTAAAGTGTTGTATTAGCCACTGCCTGGAAGAGTTCTCTAGGCTTCCCCAAGGCCCTAGCTGCTCTGAGGAACCAACCAACTCACCCTTTCCACAAAGGGCCACATCTTCTGTCCATTTTGTCCTCCAGGCTTGCTACTCACATTGTGTCTTTAACCAAACTGGGCCTTGTTCTTCCTAGAAGCACAATTCCTCCTCTTGTAATCTGAGCCTTCTAGATATCCAATGGTCAACCTCCATTCCACCATCCTCAGGGGCTTTTCCAGCAGGTTAGAAGCTATCACCAACCATTTCCAGGAGGGAGTGACCATCTTACATCTCTTTCCAGTCCTACCAAAGAGACCCCCAGGGTGGAAGTATGTCCAGGTTCTACCTGGTGGGAGAGGCACCTCTCCAGAATGGCTTCCTGCCTCAGAATGAAAGGGTGGGGGTGTGTTGGCAGTTAGGGGGAAAGAGATGAGGCATCTCTGTCACCTCCTAAGGGATGCAGGCTGGGGCAAAACACAGACACCTGAGACTCACAGGTCCCGGGTTCGCTGTATCCATGGGACTAAGCTCAGGGAGATATGTCAAACCCACATATCATTTTGTAGAAAGTGCCTTTAGAACTGAATTCAGACAGCTTCTGCCCTATGAGAACCAGGGTGCCTCCAAGGTAGAACAGAATTCAGGCAGCTTCTGCCCTATGGGAACCAGGGTAAGGTGAATGGGTACAGGGTTCCCCAGAGGTCTGGCTAACCAACTTCCTAGAAGGGAGGGCCTAACAGGTTCCACAGTATCAGAACTGACATTCCAAACCGAGTGAACTTTCTATCATTTCAGTCTTCTGAAGGAACCTCTGTAGACTTTTTTTTCCCACCTGCTTCCAAGGGTGGTGGTGGGGAGAACAGTCTCTATCTCTCTTTATGGTCTTAGCAGCCATGGCAGCAGTTTACTCGTAGAACACCAGTTCTTTTGTATTCAGTCACCATCTCATTTAACCTCATGACATCACCATGACACGTGTCACCCCCATGCCATCCAAGGGGAATTGGAAGCCATGAGAGGATACTGCCTTTCTCAAGGTCATGAGCAGTTCATGTTGAAGTTGGGTTTGGCTGGAGCCCACATAGTCAGTCCTATATCCTTAAAGTACATCACACACCTTATTCATTATCATTGCCAATCCTCCATGATGTCATGAGAAACCTGATCACTTTCACAAGATTCCTGAGAATTTATTGGAATGAAAAACACATACCATTCATTCAACTGTGTAAGGCATATTCACATCCATTTTCTCAGTGGGATCAAATACCCCTAGGAATTAGATGTCAGGCACTTTCCCAGTTTTACAGACAAGGAAACTGAGGCCTGAAGAGGAAGCGTGACTTGCCCAAGGTCACACAGCTAAAACAGCACAGTCAGAACTAGGCCTCAGGGCTCCTGAGAGACCTAGAGCTCTGTGCCTCTGATATGCTGCCTCTTCAATAAATAGGTAAGGAAAATAAATAAATAAAGGTTCCAAGGGAATCTTAAGGAGTTCTCCCAACATCAGAGGGAACTCTGTTATCAGACTGTCATTATGACCTTCTTGGTAGGATGGCAGGGCTCATGGCTGGCTTTCCCTGGGTCTGCTTTTGGAGAAACTCCCGGCCAGGAAATGGCTCTGGGGGGACATCAGCAGGCCTGTCTTTCCTCTCAGCATCTTTGCTTGGGGACCACAAACTGCCTTTGTTTAAAGATAGGTCTCAAATTTAGTATGAGGAAACAGGATCCACATCTGCCACCTCAGAGCTCCAGTGACTGGCAGCTCTCCTGGCACAAGGCCCTAGGCTCCCCCAAGATCTCTGAGCCTTTGGCATGAAGAGGAAGCTGGTTGCGGGCAGATGGGTTCCGGAGTCCACTTCCTCCCAGCCCAGAGGTTGGCAGAGCCTAAAATATCACCTCCAGTGCTAGCTTTGCTAACATTCATCATGAGGGACCCTCTAAATATTCGGTCCTTATTTCAGACCCCTGAGAAGCTGCTGGCCTCACACAGCTGAACACGGAGATGCCAGCCCAGCCCCGTATTCTCTGGGTCTGTAGCTGGACATTAGCAGCAAATACATATATGGGTCCCAACCCTGACTCTCTGGGGCCAGGTTGAGCCAGTGCCCAAGTGCAGGGGCTGCCTGAAGGGCGGTTGTCTAACACAGACAACCACAGCTTATCTGGTTTGTCAGCAAAATGGTGAACAGTAAGAAGTGATGGCAAGTGCCTTAAACCACTTCAAGTACCCCAGGGTGACACCGCTGTGTTTGTTGGAAAGAGGGAAATGTCTGCAGATAGATGGCAGAGGCACCCTACAAAAGGGACAAGTTATGTGTCTCAACCCCTTTTGTCCCTGCGGTTCTTGGACTGGGTGATGAGTCTCTAGTACCTCAAGATCTCCTAGTGACAAGCTCCCTGCCCAAGTAGACTGCCATCAGGGGAGCCTCTCCATGTGACGAGATCAAACTCCTTCCTTTCCCCCTCAAACCCCTTCTACACCTAGCAGCAGGACAGACATTCCATCCTCTCGGTAGGCATTTGGGCTGAGCTGACTTTAGCCTGGCAGCCATACCACAGCTCCAGAAAGCCCAGGGTTCCCCTAAACACAGCACAGGATCTTTACAGAACAGGAAGGAGCCCCAAGGAGGAGGAGATCTCTGCCCACCATGCTCAGCTCTGCTGGAGTCTGAAGGGTCTCTCTCAGCAGAATTCACACAGCCACCTATATACTGGGCACTTGCCAGCAAGATGGCCTCATCTTGCTCTGTGGAGCACAGCCAGCAACAGAAAAGTGACCACGTATTTCTTTGACCCTGGAGCCCTCCACCTGGTCTAGGCAGAGGCGCAAGAATGGCTGAAATCCAAACAGCCCTGCACCCATGTCAATCCTCTGTGTGTAGGCTGGAGATCAGCGGCAGGGCGACCAGGTTGGAATCAAAGCTGCCCAGGAGGCCACCGGGGGCTGCCACACAGTCTAGAGGGGCAGGATCATGGGCAAAACTCCAGCTAACTGTGTTGGGGTCTTCACAGCTAGGTAAGACCAGGAGTGGCCACTCTTCAGGCAGTTGATTCCAGTGTTCACCTGGGGTCCCCGTGGGAACCAGAGTCATCCCTGGGGTATCCTGTTTCAAATAACCTTTGGCCAGAGCCAGGGAAGGCCAATCTGACTCGGCTTGCAAGCACGTCCTCAGTTTAGGGTCAAAAGCATCTATCAAGGAAACCTCTTCCTCCAGGCAGCCTGTTGGGTTTGTCATGTCTTCCGTGTATCTAGTCTGTTTCAGGTAGCCCTGGACTGCCACCACAGCTGGTGCTTCTTCCTCAGGGACTGCAGGCCCTAGTAGACTGACATGTCCCAAGTGAGAGCCACTTTTTGTATGCTCAGGCTGTCCTTCAGAGTTTGGAACTAGGCCAATGCCACTGTCATCTTGGCCCTGGCTGGTGCCCACAACCTGCTGCTCCCAGGTAGGTCTTGTGCTGGGGTGTAAGCTGGGTTCCTGCAGGCAGATCCCACTGTCTGTGCTGTCGCTGCTGCCATCACTATGGCTGTCCTGCAGCTCTGGGGGTTCCCCCTTTCCCAGAGCCTCCTGTGTCTGGGGGTGTGGGCCAGGGAGGAGGAATTGGGGCTTTTCAGTCTGCAGTGATGGCTTGCCACTGCCAAAGCCACTGTCTGTGCTGCCATGAAGGTCTGAGTCCTTCAGCTCTGGTGACACCTTCTGGAAGGTCACCAGGTCTAAGATGTGGATGGTGTTGTAAGTGTCAGGGCAGGGAAAGTTGACCAGGAAGAAAGGGCTGGTCTTCTCGAAGATCTGCAGAAGAGAGGCAGGGTGAATGTGATAATTACTCTTTACTGACTTGGTATTGAGAACCACCATAGAAACACACCCCTATGAGGGATGAACCAGAGAGGTTAAACTGAGGTCAGAAGATCTGAACGTGCCTGACACTATCCCATGGGCTGGAGTAAGGAGGAGAAGGTGAGCTGAGCATCAGCATTCATCTCCCTCTGCTTCCTGACTGGATGCGGTGTGACCAGCTGCCTCTCTCTCCTGCCGCCACGCCTTCCTGCCAGGATGGACTGAACCCTCAAACATGAGCCAAAACAAACCATTCCTTCCTTAAATGGCTCTTGTCATGTAGCTTGTCACAGCAATGAGAAAAGTAAATAATGTAGTGAGATGGGGCTAGCCACCTCCAGGGCCCCTCCCCGGGTGTCAGGTGAAGCCAAGGGCTATGAGGCAGCTGCAGAGGGGTCTGCAGCACCCAGGCAGGTTCATGATGGCATCAGACTTTTCTCCCGGGGCACTTCACAGTTTGTCCCAGGCAGGTGCATAACCTTGTATACCCCGACCCAGGGGATTGCTGGGATGGTGAAAGCTCTTGGATGTTCCACCCATGAAGCTTTGCAACCTGGATGAGGCTTGAAAATCCAGGTCCATCCCAAACTGCGTTTCAAACTGTTCCCTTGACAACGATCCCAAGTAAGAAATAGATATCTAAGAATCTGTGTGTAGATCTGAAATATCGGAAACTAGGAATACTTAATATCTGTGTGCCATGGTCTACTCTGTTCTATTGTTCTACCATCCTTGACATTTTGTAGCTAGCAGTCAAAAACCTGCTTCCCCCTAACTGCCAAGTGTCCTGGGGATGTCATTTAACCCTCTTCTGTTCACTCCCCGGCCCCAGCCCCAGCGCTGTTCTTTCTGTCCAGAACACAGTAAGAGTAGCCCTGTCTCAGGACCTTTGCACATGCCAACTCCTCTGCTTAAAATACCCTTCTGTCAGCACTCCACATGGCTGTGTCCTCCTCCTCATTCAGCTCAGTGTCACCTCTTCAGACTTTCTTGCCAAATCAGTGCTGCAGCTGTTCTCTGTCTCTGTGTTAACTGTGCATACTTCTGCCACTTAGCTCCTACAATTGTTTACTGACCCCCTCCATACACACATTCATCCACTCATTATTCTGTTTAAGGGCCTAAGCTGAACTCAAACTAGTAGGGACTGAGAGGTTTGTTGACTGCCTAACTGACTGACTCTTCTATTTCTCATTTGCTTGGCATTTCATGACTTCAATGCAACAACTCTTTTTGGCTGTGTCCCTGTTAATATCACAGTGATTGGTGGTGGTGATCTATCTCTTATTAGCTTTGTCACTGGGCCAGATTCCTTATCTTCTCTCTGCGTCAGTTCCTTCTCCAGGAATGGAATTAATGCCTACATGGGCCTCCTCATGATTAAGCATGGAAAGTGCTTAGAAACATGCAGGTTACGTAGAAGGCAATAAGTACATGCTGAGTTGACTTGTACTCTCTGTGTCCTAAAGGAGAAACTGGACGCTCAGAGAAGTTACATGACGTGCACCAAGTCACACAGCAACAAAGGACGAGCATGGCGTTTACACTCAGCTGTTCAGAAGGAGAGAACTCCTATGGTCTAAACCAAATACCTTGATGGGCTGTTGGAAGATCAGTTCAAGCCAGCCAATGGTTGAAAACAAGCTAAGGAACCTGCCAGGGAGCTCTCACAGCAGTTACTTCTAAAACCAGCAGCAGCTGCTCAGAAGCACTGGGCTGCTTTAATTTTCAGGAGAAGAGCCCGAAAGGACACGTAATATTGTGACTCACAGATCCAGAAGAACCAAAGCCATCAGCTGCCTGTATCTCTGGGCACTTGGCATCTATTTCACTGCTTTGCATTAATCTTTTACACTTGGCTGGAGCTGGCTGCAATCCTATCCTAGGGATCCCCTTGGAGCCATATTAGTCAGCTTCCGCACAGAGAACATTTGCACATGGAGGTGCTCTGTAACTAGCTCAAAGCCTACTTCTCAACTCCTGACACTTCTCCTGGGCTCCAGCTAAAAGTCCCCTGTCTAGGGCACCAGGACCACCCTCCCTCCCTCCTAGTCTCCTCAGGGTCAGGCTCCAGGGTGCATTTGTTTCTTTCATCCCCAAACTGCCATCCAGGTACCAGACCCAGAATAGAGTACGCTCTCAAAGTGCTTGTGCATCAGGCCACTGGTATGTGTCTGGTTGAATCTCCCAGAAGCACAGAAAAAGATGGTGAGGAGCAACTTCAGCTAGACACATGGACAAACTATAAAACCCCTGAGAGCTGTAAGGGCTGCCTGTCCCTTCTCTTCCATATACTTCTTTACCAGCTGTAACACTGAGCTGGGGACAGGGTTCTTCCTTGCCTGGACAAAGGTTCTGATTAGGCCATTACACATACACACACACACACACACGCACGCACGCACGCACGCACGCACGCACGCATGCATGCACTCACACACGCACACACTGCAGATTTTACTAAGAGCCTTTGCCTCTCTATTTTTCCTAAATACCCCAAAGACTCCCAGTGCCTGGCTAGACTAGGTCTTTATTAGCTGAGCCTTCAGCCATCTATTACCCAGAAATGCCCACTACAGGCTCCAGGGGCCGTGCCTGGCCACCTCTAAGACAGACCAGGGGCAAGCAGAGGTTTGGAAGTGCTGCTGTTTGTGCAGGATGGTTTCTAGGGGCTGGTTTGCCATACAAGCTTCCCAACTTGGAGGGGAAATAGGTCCTGGTCTCCCCCTCAAGTTCCCTCTTCTCCAGGTCAGCTCTCCACTCTGCTCCCTTCCCTCTGACTGCTCTAGCCTTTCTTCCTTTCCTGCAGATGCAACCCTCAGCATCACTAGGGTGGGATGATGCCAAACATTCCCCATTCTTCCCAGCTGTGTGACCCTGCACATGGGAACAACCTCTCTGTGCCTTGTAGAATGAAGGCAATGATCGGTACCTCATGATGCCCAGGGGCTGGTCCACAAGCCATTCTCAGTAGATAACAAAACGCTTTGCAGCTTTTGAAATTGTGATTACTCAGCATGTATGTGTTGTCTCTGGGTTACTCAGAGGCACTGTTCTGAGGCTTGTGTTTGCTTGCTCCCCTGTTCCCATGGTGCTAGGCAAGGGTGTCCCATCATACAAGCACCTGGGAAGGGCAGATCACTCACCAGGACTGCAGGTAGCTTCCCCCGGCGCCGCACATAGAGCTGGAGGGCCAGGCAGACCAGGGCTCCACTAAATAGCAGGATGGAAGTGAAGATGATACTGAGGTTGGTCACCGTGAAATCTGCAGGCCCAGAGAGATGCATTTGTGGGACAATCCCAAGAGATCCCTCAGCTATGATCAGAACCCACTCAGTGAATGGGCCCCAGGTCATTCCCACAGGCAACTGATAGGTCACAGCTCTAGAGGTATCTATGTTCCCAGAAATGTCAGCCTTGAAGGATTCCTGCAGTACACACCAATTCTGTCCCCAGCCCCCTGTACACGATGGGATACTGAGGCAAGGGGATACAGCAGGTAAAAATAGAGTCTTTGAAGCAGCTAGATCTGGGTTTGAATCCTAGCTTCTCCCCTTACTAGTTGTGGGACTGTGGTCAAAATATTGAATCTTTCTGAGTCCCACTCTGTTCATCTACATGATGGGAAAAGCCACTGTTCCTGCCTCATAAGATGGTTGCAAGTACAGGGTACTTATCATGTACCAAATACTTTACCTGCAGCACTGCTCCTTGTAACAACCTTAGGAGGTCAATCACCCTGTTTTACAGATTGGGATCTTAAGGCTCAGAAAGGTTAAGTAAGTCACTTGTCCAAGGTCATATGTCCATAATTAGTAAAGCTGACATTCAAACAAGACCATTTCTTCATGGAAGGATGAATAAATACACACGCAGCTCTTAGAGCTGCCCAACATACACTTGGTGACTTCTGTGGTGGGCTTTCCATGATAAGGAGCTGCCCAGTGTCCTGTATACAATGAAATTTATTACAGATCTATAAGGAGTCATTTTCATGTTTGCTAGAAAGGGCACTTCCAGGACATGTACTCAACACAGTGTGGCACTTAAATTTGCTGCCAGGGTTTGCTAGTTAAGATTCCCTCTGGACAGTCAGCAGACTGAAAGTCTCTCAAAGGCAAGACACAGCCTGATTTTCCATCCTTGGAAAAAGCCCTGAACCCTTGGCTGAGGGTTCTGCTGACTCCAGCAGCTCTGTCAAAAGCCAGCTCAGCTCTGCTTTTTCTGGGACAAGCAAGGCAGGGAGGAGCCCTTTGCAACCTGGCTCGTAGGAGGAACAGCCCAGGACAAGACCAAACAGGAACTAGTGAAACTGACAGAGGGGTGCTGGGGAGGTCCCTGGGAAATTCAGCTATGCTCAGGTAGAAGGACCCCAGAATAACTGTGCAGCAGGAATGAAGGTATTCTAAAGAGACACCTGTACCCTCCCTTTTGGTTCTCAGACTATAGAAACAATGATCTCCAAGAAATTGCCATTTCCTTAGGAGTCTCATGCTAGGAAAAGCAAAAGGCTGGAGCCTGGTGCCAGCAAGAAAGTGAACCTGTCACACAATTCTGACAACTTGTCAGACTGGGCGTGGTGGTGCACACCTTTAATCCCAGCACTTGGGAGGCAGAGGCAGGCGGATCTCTGTGAGTTCAAGGCCAACCTGGTCTACATAGTGAATTCCAGGACAGCTGGGCCTACAGGGAGACCCTGTCTCAAAAAGACCAAAAAATAAAAATAAAAAATTAAGTTTTTTACTATCTTGGTACTCCCTAGGGAAATGACTAAGGAAGATGGGGCAACCTCTCCTTTGGGTTGTATGAGAAAGGGCAGCTCTGTGAAGAAGCTCTTGGTCCAGTGCCAGCACCAATACTCCTGAGCATGACTTTCTGGATTGTTCTGGCCCTTCCCGGCCCCCGCCACCTTGATTTCCTGGACTGCCTGGACTGCAGCCTGGGTCACTCACACTGCTTGGTGAGATGTAAACACTGTTCCTCCGACCATTCCGCCTTGTTAGCTCGGGATTCCACATTTGGCATCACCTTGACACAGAACTCTCCCACCTCTCCTGGGAATGAGAGGCTAAAGTTCTCACGATTAACCATCTTTATTTTGAACTGAAGTGGAAACAAGAAAAGCAATAAGCGATCTTTCCATGCATGGAACAGAAGCTGAGAGCTGGAGGGGCCCTTTTGTGGTTTTCTGCAGTGCTGGGGATGAACCCAGGACCCAGGACAGGGGGTCTTGCTAGGTCAGCCAGCCTTAGAGGGTCCTTAAGAGATGGTCCAGCCAAGCCTCTTTAGTCCTTTTGCTAAGATAAAAAGTCCTGTGATTGTCAATGCAGCCCAACATCTCTGTAAGGACACAAACCAATTTTGTTCTAATCTTTTTCTTTTCCTTTGTGTGTGTGTGTATGTGTGTGTGTGTGTGTGTGTGTTGTGTATGCATGTATGCATGCATATTCATGTGTGTGAGTGCAGGTGCATGCATGCCACAGTACATGTGTGGAAGTCAGAGGACAACCTCGGATACTGGTCCTCATCTTCCAGTCTGTTTGAGACAGGGTCTCTTTGTTATTCACCTCTGCACATATCAGGCTAGCTGGCCCACAAGTTTCCTCGGATTTTGCTGTCTCATTCCATCTTGCTGTTGGACCAACTGGGATTATAAACTAGCTTCACATGGGTTCTGGGGATCTGAACTCAGGTCCTCATGCTTGCATGTGGCAAGTGGTTACCTACTGAGTCATTTTCCCATTAATTTTAATAGAGCAAAGGGTATCTTTTATGAAGTGGAGGCTCTTCATAGAAGGGGCTAGAATCAACCTAGGTGAAACATTTTACAGATTCCTGATTGCAGGGATAGGCTCTAGCTACTACACAGTCTCATTTCCTTATCTATAAGCTGGAAGAAGATACTAAATGAGTAGCTGCCACGTGCCTTGTGCAGTTACTCACCATCTCTTGGGAATACAGGTTTGAAGGCTGTGATCGTGCTAGCTCCCTCCTGAACCCTTAGGACCTCTCTTTTCTGTGTGTGCAAAGCTCCCCAGTAAGACATGAAGGTGATTCCAGCCCATGAGCCCTGGCCTGGTGGCCTTGGGGAACCCCGTACCGTTCGTTCTGGCACTTTACGGAAGGCAATCGTATAAGTGCGGAAATATTCGAAGATGTCTTGGTATGTGTTGCCCTCAGGGGCCACCTGGGATCCAGGGAGATGGATCGTCCCAAAGATATAGCCGTTGAGCGCCTCAAGGGTCACGCCATCCACTGTCAGAGTCACTGAGTAAAAGAGGTACAGGGAGGGCATGAGGCTGAGGCAGGAGACAACATCCACAGCCTGCCTCCAGGCTTAAGCCTCACCTGCTCTAAAACCTATGTCTTTGGTTTACAACCCTACTCCACACAAGGACTTCTTAGAAAGCATGTTATAGATGCTATGGGTTCACCAGTACCCAGGGAATCTGAATTTCTTAGTCTGGGCCCTAGAAATATAAATTTTAAAACCTCTCCCTAGGAGGTCCTGGCATGTGAGCCTAATTTGGGAGTCAGCGACCTCTGAATTCTACAGAGTAAGCCCACCTTTTACTCTGACCCTGTGCAGGCCCAGAGGGATGGAAGAATTCCACTGTGGTCAGGCTGATCCCTCTGTTACACACACCCCACCCAGGAAGTCATGCCTTTTCTTCAGTAGCATCTTCTGGCCTCAAAAGCAGGACCTGTGAGATTTGCCTTGATAAGGAGCCAAGCCTTATCTAAATACTGCCCACTGCTTCCTGTCCTGAGTGCTTATGGATTTAGTGCCTCTCCTTAAACTTCAACTTCACCAGCCTGGTCCTCATGACTCAGACACCCCAACCCACTCCAAGACCTTCCTTCTAGAGGATAAACAACTCTGGTTCCCTTTAAAATCTCAGGAAGCTTTTGCTATTTTCATGCCACCTTCTCCAAAGTTCTGACTCAGATTTGTTGAGGCAACCAGTTCTTGGACCCAGAAGTCTGGCTGACGTGAGAAGCGATGGGAACAGACAGAAAAGCCCTAGGCTGGAGTTCCTGGCTAGAAGGGACCAATAAGGCCATGCTCTAGGTCCAGGGAGGCAAAGCACCTTCATCCAGAGTGAAGCGGGTTTTGGTGAGGGTCCAGTTGGAATGCTGGCTGCCGTCTATTGCTCGGACTTTGGCCCTGTAGCCATTGCTGTGGTATAGGTCCAGGGTGAAGTTGGTGAGATCACAGGACAACTCCAAGGCCTGGCTACAGCTGGGAATTGTCTTCCAGAGCCTGCTTCCGTACCTGAGGAGATACCAGAGCAGGCACTGGAGGGGCAGTTTGTACCCAAACCTCCCTCCCTTTAAGAGGGAAGCAAAAGGCCAGGGTAGAATGCTCCCACAGCAGCAGAAATGGAACAGCCCTGGATGGAGGGCGGGGTTCCTCTAGTCCAGGCATCTAATTGTAAGGGTCTCCCTCTTCCTTGGTCCAGGTCCCTGCTGACATCCGTGGCCTAGAAGGTTCCTACACAGGAGCCTGAGTAGCTCAAATTTCATTCCCCTAGAAGGATATGTTAGTCTACCTTGTAGCCTCCTGTTTCCTTTCTCTTAGTTACCTTTGTGAATGTTTTTCCAGAAGACTGGAAAGCTCTAAGAGCCAATCAATGCCTGCTTACCTCAGGACTCCCAGCACACTAAGCTCACAGGACACTCAAGCAGTACTTGTCAATTCAGTAGATACATATCAGGGTCCCTCTGGTCTCATTTCACTAAGGTAATTACCTAGTCCCTCCCCACCTCCCTCTGTTGTGACCCCTCCCCCCCATACTTTCCTTACCTCATGAGGGCCACTTCATAGCTGGTGTTTTCCGATGGATTTGGGATAGGTACCCAGTGGAGGATGTGCTGGAAAAATTTGGCTTTAAACCACACAGAAGGAGGACTGGGCAGTTCTGTCCCTGGGAAAAGAGTGTCAACCCTTGAGTTAGCAGTCACCCCCAGGGATGTAGGAGAGGATGGGAATGATGGCAAGGGTTATAACTCAGGTACTGGGCACTTTATGAGGAGCTGAGTGTTTTACATATGTTCCATTAGTGATGCAGGGACCCTAGGCACTTGGTACCCCATTTTTTTTTAAGGAGAAATAGTTCAGAAAATGATTCACCCAAAGCCAAGAGAGCTGGTAAAGGGCACAGTGGGAACTTGGGTCCAGATATGTCTGATTCCAGAGCTAGTATTGTGTCCTTATATCACTGTGCTGTGTGAGATCAAAAGCCTCATGGGGTGGGGGTGGGGGTGGGGGGCTGGGAAGGGCAAGGAGGTCTGGTATGTTCCAGAAAGAAGGTGAGGTGTGAGGAGCATGCATGCGAGTTGTGAACTCTCCGATGAGCAGCCGCTGATTTTGCACAATCCATGTTCATGCTCCAGCACCATCCCAAGACCTATCTGCATCCCACCCCTAATCCAAAGCTATCACCTCTGGCCTATTCTGGGCACACAGACACTTTTGTTGTTGATATCACTCTGTTTTTGTTTTGACTCGTTGACATCACTCTGTTTTTCTTCACAGACCTCCTGGGACCCTCAGGCTTAGGGCTTTCCCATTTCTGAGCTTCTAGAAGAGTTATACCTATACTCAGATGCCCACCTGAAGCTGGGAGTGAGAAAACAGAATAAATTAGCCAGATATGGCTCTAGACTGCAGGAGAGCCTCTTCACAGAAGTCTCTAAGGTAAGAGACCCAATGGCAAACCATCTCTACCCACCCCAGGCCTCAGTTCATTGCTAGTAGAAAACCCAGACTCCAGGAACCTCAGATTAACAGCTGCCAGTGTGACTGCAGGAAGACTACTGACCCCCGTGGAACCCACTGGCATTTCTGTAAGAATGCTATAGGCACTCGTATCCAAATTCTGCTGATCTCAGGGTGAAGAGTGGTGGGTTTCCCTCCTCCCTTCTTAATACTTTTAAGATATCGCCTCTTGAACCCATCTCTATGCCCACTTCCTCTCTTCTCAAACCTCTCATCAGCTCTCCAGTCATACTTCTTTTGGAGTGACTCATTTTCAGAAAATAGTATGTTACCCTTGCCCCTATGCAGTAAACTTCATATACTGTCTTTGAGTTTCAAGTCTGTGTTTCAGTTGCAAAACTCTAGATGGAAAGCGAAAAACTCAGCCCATTTTTGCAGTGTTTGGGCTGCACATCCCCAATTCGGCACTAGATCACATGACTGTGAGGTTTTACTTCGAATTTTGGTGTCCTGTAGAAGTGTTTTGGGTCCCCTGCTCTCCCGACCTCTGTGCCCTGCTGATGGGTAGGGAAAGCGGGGGAGGGGGCTGCTGACACAGGAATGAACTTCAGGGTTAAAGGGGAACAGGATGGTCAGTAGGGGTGGTCAGGGAGGGTGGGATAAAGGCAAGGATGAGAGCTGAGATGGAAGGGCTCTGGGAGAGGGGCCTCAGAAAAGGCACACGCAGACCTACGGATGGACCCAAGCAAAAAAGCGAGGGTTAACGTCATGGTGGGTGGGTAATGGGTATGAGGATCCAGCTTCGGGGTGGGAACAATTCGCCTTGCACGTCCGTCGCTATCCATTCCCCCACCCCGCCGCGGCAGGTTAATCTCAGCCTCCTCCAGTTCCATAACAGGTGAGTCTGAGACTCAGTTTTGTTAGCGCGAAGGTGCCGGGGTAGGGGACCAGGGAAAGGGCCAGCCAGCCGGGTTCTCGGCGGAGAGCTGAATTTTAAAGCTGCGGAGCAAGCGCGGAGGAGCTTACCGTGCGCGCCGAAGCCCAGGCAAAGGCTGACCAGCGCGGAGAGAAGCAGGAGCCGGCGCGACAGCATCCTGGGCGCGCAGCATCGTCCGCAGCGGGAGCCAGCTTGGGCGCTCCGGCGGCAGCCGGGAGGTCTGAGGCTAGGCGCAGCCTCGGTCCAGGGCTTGGCTGTCTGGGGGCGCGGCCTCGACACGCCCCGCCCCCGGCCCGGGGCATTCCTGAGCCGGTGGCTGCTCGTTCACTTGGCCAAGCTCGAGGATGCCCTCGTTGCAGGGCTGAGTGTCCCAAAGCCAAAGAGCAGCAGCAAACCGACTCGGCCCGTCTGTGCTCTTGGCTCCTCACGCTATCAGAACAACATGACTGTGTGTGTGAACAAATTTTACTCTGCGATCAGGCTGGGGGCAGAGCTGGGGCGGTGGCCCAGCCAGAAGTGGGCTGACTGTGAAAAGCGCACAGCACACGTGTATGAGAACACTTGTACTAGTCCCGGTACTGCCCCTGGACCTCCATGCAGGCTCTCAGCTAAGCCGACCGTGGAGGGCCTGGCGCCTACCTGGCTTCATTTTGAGGTGGTCCACGACATCTCTCAGGTCTTAGGGTTGCTTCCACTTGCCTGAAATCTACAGGTTAGAAGTAGTGATGCTATTGACAAGGGACCTGTGCGTGTGTGTGTGTGTGTGTGTGTGTGTGTGTGTGTGTGTGTGTGTATAAAACTGCAACCTGTGTGTGTGTCTGTGCACATAGCCACTTGGATCCATGCACTGGTACTCAGATGATTTGCAGGGGTGAATCTTGGGTCTTTATTGGATTCAGTTGTGGAGTTAAGCAAGTGCCTGCAGGTCTATCATCTGACAGGTGCTGTCCTTGGAGCCCTGTTTTTTTTTTTATCTGGGAGGGTACAGGGGCTAAAGAAGGGTGAATAGGCTTTTCTAGGCTAGGCTGGTGTCACCAGGCTATCCTTGCTCCTAGGACGTTCCCCTCTCCCGTCAAAGTGCCTACTGTTCACATTGCAGATATTACCCCCTGGAGCAGCCCTAGTACAACTATCAATATCACTCAACACAAAACTGTGAACTTACTTAAAACAGGAGATGGAGTATGTTTTTTTGTTTTTTGTTTTGTAACTCGATTGCTTGGCTTCTCCATTGTGAAGTTTGTAGATGACAATGTCATGTCACAATGTCAAAAGGTTTGACACCTCAGCACCTGGACGGAGCTTTTGAGAAAAGGGCTCCAACCTGGGGGTGTGGGACATGAGCACTATGTGATGGTGTTGGAGCTAATACGGCATCACCCCCAGTGAAGATATGAACCCTGTTTAAACACCATGGGGGTGGATGTTTCTTTGCCAGTGTCCTGGATGGAGAACATGCCACGCTGGCTGGGGTCCTGATGGTATATATTAGGACTAGAAAAGTGGTCAGGGAGAGCTGAGCTATGTGACTAGTGGGGAATCATACATGAAGTCAGGGCCACCCTCAGGGGACAGAGTTGTTACCACACCCTCAGATCAGCTGGGCTGAAGAGCTCCAGGCTTTTTAATGTGTGAGGGTTTTGTTTTCCACTTTCTGCTGCTCAGCTGGTTAAAGAAGATAAGTTGCTCAGGCGTACCAGAGTGTGACACAAGAAGTATGGCTGCCTGCCAAAATGACTTTTTAGTTCCTGATAACCTTTTTTAAGAGGGCACTAAGACACTGCTTCCTCATCTGCCTTTTCTTTTAGTTTTTGGTTGAGTTTTAAGAACTGTAAAGCCTTACTCCGTGACTGTTTCGAAGGAAGATCAGGATTGTTCATTCATACACTACCACCATTTGGGCTTGCTCTAAGCCACACATTGCTCTCATGCTGGGAATTAAAGTGGTGATCAAAACGAGGTCTCTTCCTCTAGAAACCACCTTGCTAGAGGCAGAAAGTGAGCAGAGATTTTAACAGTCTCTGGTAAGGGATGTACAGGCTAACAAGGGGACACAGGGTAGAGGACAGGGAGGCTTCCTGGAGATGACGTGTGAACTGAGACTTGAGGATGGGTAGAAGGCAGCTGAGAAAAAAATAGATAGGAAGAGACCTGTACACTTGGAGGTGAGGGAACATAATGTTGTGGAAGAACTCTGTGAAAAGGGTAACATTTCTGTTTGAAGATGAGAAAACTATGTCTGACATAGTTTGATACCTTCTCTAGGGTGGAACCAGCTTTGAATGCAAACTCTACCAGTCTTCCTGCTGCCTTGTGGCATCTAGAGAAAAAGCTGTATTGGGCATATGATTATAGTATCTTAGAAAAAGAAAAATATTTAAAAAGAAGAATCCACGTTGAGTGTTGTCTTATGTCCAGTGGTTCATTCTTCCAGTCTGACAAATCTACCAGCTTCTGGGATTCACGTCCATATTGGGACAGATGATAAAGTCATAACAGGATCTTCACATTATTGAACTTTTATGGTGTACCAAACACTCTGTAAAATACTTTATATGACCTAACAGAGATCAGCCAAATGCTGATAAATCCCTTTCCCTCTTCATGGGCACATGGAACAACTTTGTTGACCAGTGCATGACTGGAAAGTGTGACTGTTTTTAACCAATGTGAAGCTGAACTGATGGGTGCCACATCTAGGCCTGGTTTCCAAGTCTCCTGTATGATTCTACCAGTCACCCAGAGAGTCCCAGTGGAGGACTTCCAGGGAATGGAAACACTTGGGTCTCCAAGTCACTTCTTGGAAGAGGAGAACTCTGCAGGAAAGATAATCTATTAAATGAATAGAAATTGGATCCTCATATCAAGCCACAGAGGTCTGAAGATTTTCCTTGTAGCTACTTGTGCTGGATAGCTTTAATGCCAACTTGACACACCTGGGTTGAGGGAGCCTCAATTGGGGCATTGCCTCGATGGGACTGGCCTGTGGTCATGTCTGTGGGGCATTTTCTTAATTATTGGGTGATATGGGAGGGTCCAGCGCACTGTGGGTGGTATCACCCCTGGGCAGGTGGTCTTGTATAAGAAAGCAAGCTGAGCAGGGGCCAGGGGAGAAAGTCAGTAGGCAGCATTCCTCCATGGCCTGTGCTTCAGCTCCTGCCTCCAGGTTCCTGCCCTGAGTTCCTATCTTGGGGCTCCCTCAGTGATGAGCTGTGATCCGGGAGATGTAAGCTGAATACCCCCCTCCAAGTTGGTATTGGTCAGAGTGTTTTGTCACAGCAGTGGAAAAACAAACTAGAACACTGCTGTTGCCTACCCGGATTCATCTGCAAATAAGGTCTTATTTCATCCTCAGTGGGATGGGTGTCAGTGCTTTGCAGATGAGACTTTCCCACTCAGTCAGTTAGCAGAAGAGCTGAGTTCAGCCCAGGGCTGTTTGAATCTAGAGCTTCTGCTTCTTCCACCTAGGTAACGGCACCTTTCCTAAAGAGTCCTTGCAAAAGGCAGTACCAAGTGTGTTGGGAGAGGATGAGAGAGTGGGGAGGAAGAGTATATATAGCTCAGAGCTGAGAAGCTGGTGCTGTGTCGTGCCCAGGAAACCGACGGACAGGCTTGGCGGACATCTTGCTCCCATGGTGACACTGGAAGATTCTCAGGGCAGATTTAGAGCCCTGGATGGCTCTACTGTCTCATTTTCATTCCTCTTTATCTAGGTCTTTGTGATGATACTTCTGTATCACTAGGGGTAGGCTGGGCATCTGAGAGGAGGTAGGAAATTGTGCTCTAGTGTGGCCACAGGCACAGCTTGTCTCAGGACTGGTGTTTGGGGGAAGTTCCAGGCCTTGTGATCACTGTGTCAGAGCAACACAAAACAGAGAGAATCCCAGAGGCACCTACTCTGAGGAGACAGAAAGGAGGAAGCTGCCTGGGGAAACTTGGCAGTCCTGGGGAACAGAAAGATTTCAAGTACAAGGTGCAGGGCCTGCCAATGCTCAGCTCAAGATGCTCCAGGCATGCTCAGGCCAGCCCCTGTCCCACGAGGATCCTTCTGGATATTGTCTGTAGAACCTAATCGGTATCCACTTCCTTTCACTTTCTGTTCACTTTCTGTTGAGTGTGAAAGAGGCTCTCTGAACAGTGGCTTGAGCTTGAATAAGGAGTTGCTTGCACTTCAGGTGGGTGAGTGAAGTGCTGGACAGGAACAGATTTGCATTTTAAATAGAAAGGGAAAACCAGAGGATGGGGGTGAGTAGTCAGGGTGACTCAGTCAGTCAGTAGCAGAATTCCAACCCTGCTTTCCAGATACACGTTCTACCCTGCCTATCATATCACAGCAGCCCAGCTTGTGGAACTGTGAAGGCTTGTGTGAGCTTGTCACATCTGTCACTAGGAGGAAAGGAGAAGAAATGCTGAGCTCCCTGGTGAGGGACTTCCCCTGCTGATTGCCTTGAAGCAGAGACCTGGGGCTAAGAGTTGCCTCATGCCTGCCATCTGCCTAGGATCTTGCTCTTGGCCAGTATCCAAGGTGGAGCCTATGAACCTTGCAAACAGGAAGCCTCATTCTAGCCCTAGCTTGTCCCTACCAGCTGTTTGCCCTTAGCCCAGGCCCTTGACCTCTACAAGCATTGAATGATGGAAACCATTGTAACCTTGTTGGGCTGCTGGGAGGCCAGAGACAAAAATATTCAGGCAACTGTTGCAGGTTTCCCAGACGAAGCAGATATGGCCAATAGAAATATCCAGCAGAAAGCACCACCTGCTTTATAAACAAAGGGAAGCAGCTCCTTGGCCGCCTACCTGGGTTTGGCCTCTCTGGGCTTCACCGCATGCTGTGCTCTACTGCACCAACCCAGCATGTTCACATGAGCGATCCCTAAGAAAATCATCTTAACAGGAAGGGTGTGGGCCTATCCACCATCATTGCTTTATTAACTTGGGCTCCTAGAGGATAGAATATGCACAAAAATATCCTGGTTATTTCAACGAAGTTATATCTTCCTTCTACAGCTCATATGGCCTTGACTTCTCCTGTTTTTGAGCTCACCAGGGAGCTCAGCATTTCCTCTTATTTCCTGAAATAACAGCATCCTGAACCCTTGTCCTCCAAATGTAGGAAGTTAATCAGTTGTTGGAGTTCCATACCTAGAACGGCCTAAGTGGGCTCACAGCACATCTCAATGTCTTGTGATAGCGTCTTTTGAGCTTTAGAGGCTTTCTTCGGGCATGTACAC